AAAAAAAAAAAAAAAAAAAAAAAAAAAAAAAAAAAAAAAAAAAAAAAGCATTGTTATATAGGTAATGTGCGTACAGTGCGCGGCCCGTGCACTTATGCTCCTAATAATAGCCGAGAGGAGAGAGCCTGCAGTCGAGCTGAAATTGTTTCTTTTCGTCCCATCCTCTTCTTCTATATGCTCTTCGACGTGTGGTTCGCTCTATACTCTCGTATACGGTATCCGAGCTTTTTTGTTCTCGTTTCACGTTATTCACGTATGTAACATCTCACTCGATTGTCGCTGCGAAACGTCAAAGCTCGGAAACGATGGGCTTCATCTTTTTTCAGTTGGCTTATTTTATCACTTTTTGAAAATCAGTTAAAAAAAAAAAAATAAATAAGTAAATTGAATTGGAAACAGAAAAATAATTTCTTTTGTACAATGTAGACACAATTACAACTGCGTGGAGAGCGGCTTTCACTTACGAGGGAGATCAGCGAATTGGAGGTCCCGAATTTTTGAGAATTTCAACGTTTTTAATAAGTTTTTACAATTTCACCACAACCTTCTACCAACAAAGTTTTTCAAAATTGCGCTATCAATAGTTAGCGTAACGCGTCCAATCCGCGCTAATATCGAATTTTCGGGCTATCGAGGAAAGGAAAACTTATTAATAAACAAAAGAAATAAAAAAAAAAAAAAAAAATCAGCTGTTATCCGGAATAGATGTACCAAGGTACGATAACGTAGCTGAAATAATAAGTGTTGTCCCCCCCCCCCACTAAATTACCCTCACATCGGTCGTGAGATTTCACTCGCAAGAAAATAATTTGTTCATCGCGGGCCATTGTAACCAAATACACAGTTGGTATATGTACATATGTATATTTGTTTTTTTTTTATTCTTACAAACTGTCAGTTACTCCAACTCATAACTTTCACAGAGATATTATCACAATATAGATAGTACATTAACACATAGATGGATTCTATTGTGCTTATGTATTATGATACTTGCGGTATAATATAACATTGGTACAACACCGATACTCGACAGCGCATAAAAATCATCAGTCACAACTTTCACCCAATCACCCCTCGTTATTATAGGTTTAACTAATAAGTTATTTATTTACACCACTACTTTAACAAAGACATATAACTACATACTGCTGACATTGTAGTAAAATCTCTAGGATGTACTGTCATGGGCTTTTGACGCTAATTAACGTTATCGTCTCGCCCACAATCCTACCAATGAGCAATTTTCCTTCGAGGTAAGTAAAGCACAATGACTTTCCCGAAAAGTCACGAGGCCTGTCGCATCGCATGCGTGTGGGCACAACATTTTTTCAACACACACACACAACACACGTAAACATTTTTCGTAGAATTTTTCGCATTGTTTGTGCTTACTGTAACGTTTCCCGTTGTTTTTCATAAATGTGATCATTGTTTTTGTCCTTGAAAAAGTAACGCGAAAAAGCGCTTGTTGCAACTCTCTGTGTAAGAGACAAAAAAATTTGTTCGTTAAATGAGTATACGTATAGACACTAGACGCAACTTGTGAACAAACATTATTTGTGGGCAAAAGTTGAAGGGTAATACAATCAATGCTTCAGGAAATCATTCATATCGTTGTTTGAGCAAATGATTATTAATTTATTGCAATACGGTCCATCTCAAAAGTTGATAAATTATATATTGTATGTATCGGGTGTATTCATTATACACAAAGATTACATATGCTTCATTGTCCAATGCGTTATTTTTTTCAAGAAGAAAAATAATAAAACAATATGTTTGAACATGAAGAATTCAAGAATTCCACGAAAAAATCGTGCGTCATGAAATTGGAAAAAAAAAAAAAAAAAAATCTAACTAAATGGACTAACTATCCTGGAACCAAAATTTAATCACATACTTTTACCTACATGCACGTATAACAGCAAAATGCACCAGCAGCAGGCGTTGGGCAAAATTTATGACAATACTATAGTAACTTAAAGACAACGGCCGGGTATACCGGTAGGTATATTGTGATGTTCATAGCAATCTCTGCATGTGCAAATTCCGGGGGTTCAATGGGAGAGAGAGCGAGATAGAAGAGTTTTATCTCCCCCCCCCACCTCTCTTTCACCCACCCACTGTACAGCGCAGCAGTCCATTCTCTGTCCATTCACGATTTTTGTCTCTTCGGAGTTCGGACTTCGGAGAGCGCCTCTTACTGTCAGTCTTGCGGTGTGTCTCGTCCTAATGGTTATACTTACTTTTAAGTTACACTTGGCTAGCTTTCCGATCCTTTTGGCATAAACGCAAGCTCACATGCAGCCACCAGCTTGTATAGAAGCGAATTTATTTTGTGATAATCTAAATATATGGAATGCTGACAAGGACATCTCGTTTCGTTGAATCTCTGCTGAGGAGCAAACAGGAGCGTAACGGAAGATAGTTATGTGCAAAATGTTTGATTAAAATTAATGAAAAAGCCTAAGGTGCGAGAATGCCGTTGATGGTTATACCTACCCTGTAGTAGTAAAATACAGAGTGTGCAGTGTACATATTTGATTAGTTTTTTGCTGATGGCAAAAGAGGAAAGAGGAAAGAGAGGATACGTGCAACATATATAGATACATATATATATATATATATAATAATAATACATTGGTACTCGCGCGGCGGAAGGAAGCGGCGGCCTGCCGCTGCTGCTGCATATTTTTCTGCTGCTGCTGCTGTTCTCTCTCCTCACCATATCTTACCTTCTCCTTCTTCTCGTCTCTCGGTCTCGGCGACGACGGTGGTGACGGTGTACATACCAACTCAAGCTTAAAGTATACTTACTCACTGGTGCGCCAGTATCACCTGGTATCACAGCGGTTCTGCGGTTGTTTCCACTGCCAATGTGGCTCGCCAAGAAGACGTCCTCGAAAGTCAACAACGTAGAATGGGTGCTCTAGTGTGAGTGTGCAACTCATCTGTGTTTTTGTTTTACGTGCATGTGAGTGCTGTGTGAATAGTGTGCGTTAAACAAAACAAAAAGGAACCATTTCGTACACCCACTATTTACGTATATATTCATATACATAGGTAATAGAGTGCTCGTTGCCTTTGCTGCTCCGATCCGATCCAGTTATTACATCTATACGCGTGTGTGTGTGTGTGTGTGTGTGTGTGTGCACACGAGCGATAAGATGGCGTCACGCGTGCCGTCGTCGTCGTCCTCTTCGTGGTCATCACCTTTAGTGCCGTCATCTAGGAAGACGTGGACGTAGAGGCAGTGACACTCACGTGGGAGCTTTCACCAGATCGTTTTCAGGTTCGAGACATTACTCATTCCTTCATTCTCAGTCAATTGAGTCAGTGCTGCTCCTGCATACCTATGTGTACTATATGCGTGTACGGTATTTGGATAGTGTGTGTTCAAATGCGTAGGTGTCTTGTCTTTTTTATTACCTTCTCTCTCTCTCTCTCTCTCTCATTTTCCTTCCCTGTATAACTGAGAAACTGAGGTATGCAACACACATGTATTTTTTGTGGATAAGTGTGTGTGCGTGTACAAAACATACATATCCTCGGTCATCAGTCATCATCCCCAAGTGCAAGCTGCTCCGGCTGTACACTTAGTATTTACATACTCTATTAGATATCACTTTGTAAAGTCCTAGTTTTTTCGACAAGTAGGTATGGGTCTACTGGTCCATTAGCTGGACAACATAATGTGGTATTGCAAGTGTTATTTTTGATAAACAAAGGAGATGTGTGTTGCTCTTTTCTTTCTGTCCTCTCGCTTAACGGGAGTGGGAACGACGTATTCTGCAAGGCGCAGCTATGTGAGAGTATACATCAGAATGATCATCTCTTTCTTTCTCATAGTTATACTCTATATCTGCACAAAGTATGTATCATCATGTGTGTATGCCAGATAACATTTTTCTCGCCTTTTTTTTATCTTTTCTTTTTTCCTCTGTCTCCAATACTTGCACGTTTAAATGTGAATAAATGCCTCATCTTCATGGACTTTGATGATGGACGAGCAATGCATATCTCTAAATACATTTAAAATGACAGTATTTCCGGGGGGCATATCTATTTTGCCTGAGATTTTCGTGGTCGTTGCATTATTTTCATGTTTTTTTTCCCCTTGGTTCCCCCATTGTTGCTGTGTATTTAAATGAACAAACAATGAGAAGGGGATTAATCGAGTGATTGTGCGCACATATTCATAGATTGACTGTTGGAGAGATAGAGCAAAGTGAGAATGTAAATTGACAAGTGTGTGCATGCATGGATTTTCTTTCATTTTACCTTAAATGGATGGGCATGTGCTCTCTAAAGCCTGGAATTTCTGTCTGGTTCCACGAGTTGGCGAATATCGTCTCTTGCAAGTCTCCTGCCTGGTTTCTTTTTTTTTTTTTTTTTTTTTTTTTTTTTTCATAATTCATATAATTTAATAGAAAAAGTCGTCAAGACGTCTTGTAAACTTGTAATACCGATCATGAAGACATCTTTGGGGCATTTCACCTTCGAAGATGTCTTAATACGATGGACATTGGAAGTCTACAAGATATCTCAAAAAAATGTTGAGGAAATGTGTTTGCTGAGTTCAATTCAAACTTTACTCCGAAAAAATATATTACGTTAAATTGTTTTTTAGTAGAAACAGTTAGTTTATTTTAGTTTATTTTACTATATAAATTTTTATGTGGAAAAAAAAAGATGGCCATGCAGTAACGCAGAGGTCAACCGTGTATTTTGTAGTTTATCAGCTCTTTAACGATGTGCAATCGGAGTAATGAGCCGATTTTTATTATAATTATCTGACTACTTTTTGTACTTATTCCCCGATTTGCAATAGTGAAACTTCAACTCGAAATGAAATATCTTGTCTGCGTTGCATGCACGTATAACTTTAAAAAAAAAAAAATGCTCTTTCCACCATATATTTAACGTACGTAGAGTAAACGCATTGTTAACGACGTTGTAAATGAATAAAAATCTCCCAGCTCTCTCTCTCTCTTATCTACAGTACACTTTAAAAAAAAAAAAAAAAAAAAAANAGAGTTATAAATTTGATATTAAATTTATTAAAAACATATGAAATATTTAATTGCTCTTGCATGTGTAATACAATGAACTGTTTATCGATTCAACAATTGTTAATACAAAGATACTTTTTTATTTACAGGATATTCCCTGCGCCCTAGAGCCGGCAAGTGTCGAAACAATAAACTTGGTGAATCGGGAGGAGGTTGCATCAGTATCGCTAAACCCAAGCCTTCCAGCTAGATGCATTTGCGGTTAAAGAATCGCCGCCGAAGAGGTCTCAAGTCGTAACTAAGGACAAAGCAGTTAAGGGCAGAGGCGCCCTCAGCTCCATCCTGGGTGCACCAATATCCGTCCGCGTGATCGCGTGCTTCGATTTTTTCTACTGTATGAATTTTCAACAATATTGATACACAACATGAGGGAATTCAAGGTGGTGGTGCTGGGCTCCGGAGGCGTAGGCAAGTCCGCGCTGACGGTGCAATTCGTCTCGGGCTGCTTCATGGAGAAGTACGACCCGACGATCGAGGACTTTTACAGGAAAGAGATCGAGGTCGACAACTCGCCCTGCGTCCTCGAGATCCTCGACACGGCTGGAACCGAGCAGTTCGCCAGTATGCGCGACCTCTACATAAAAAACGGCCAGGGCTTTGTCGTCGTGTACAGTCTGACGAACCATCAGACCTTCCAGGACATAAAGGCCATGAAGGAGCTGATAACTCGCGTCAAAGGCACAGAAAAGGTGCCCGTGCTCCTCGTGGCGAACAAACTTGATCTGGAGCATCAACGCGAGGTCGACACGGCCGAGGGCAACGCGCTAGCTCAGATGTGGGGTTGCCCGTTCGTCGAAGCCTCAGCCAAGAATCGCACCAACGTGAACGAGGTCTTTGCGGAGATAGTGCGCGAGATGAACTTCAGCCCCGAGAAGGAGAAAAAGAGTTATTGCTGCTGCAGTATACTCTAATACTTAATCAAGCCAAGCAGCAGTTATGACGTGATTAGAATACACAAAGAGGAAAGGAGAGGTGGTGGTAGTAGTGCGGATATGCGGTGGACTGACACGTGCTGGTGGTCACATGTACATGTATACCTTTTCACTGTCGCAACTACGTATGCGGAGGAAAGTGCGTTGGAACTTACTATTTTAATTTATCGAGTTGCCAAGTGATATACGTGGGGGTGTTTCCTAATTGCGGTCAATTGCGAATATAGCCCGAGGAAACGTGTCGACTTTGAGAACGTAAAAAGTAACATTAAATGTCTCCTCTTCCTCTTTATTTTTTTCCCCCTCCTCACACTACAGAGCCGGAAAACGAGCGCATGACTGGCTGTAAACATGCCTACTAAGAGGAGGAAAAAAAAAAATAGCGAAAAGAGGAAGGAGAATTAGACAGGTGCGCGTCTTCGTCGCGTTTCTATCGGAGATATATTACACATGTGTACACATAAATAAAACAAACTAAAATCATAGCGTGACGCATGTACTGCTGCAGTAAAATCAAAAAGACGAGCGTCACGGTTATTTTATTATACGCCGATGGTATTACGTGTAATAATATTGTAATATATATATATGTATATGAAATTGGTAGGCGTTTAAGCAAGATACAGTTAGTTAGAGAAAGATGAGAGTCGATTGCACATTATACATAAAGACACACACCTAAGGATACAAAAAATAAATTAAAGTACACACACACACTCACTAAGTAAGAAGGGGTTAGGACCAAAATGTTGCATGACACAACGGCATTTAGGAGTGTGAACAAATGAGTGATGATTTATCCGAGTAAGTTGTTATAATTGTTATTTCTCATAGGCGGCGAAGAAACCAAACTGAGTGTGTAACACTTTCTAGCTTAACGCTCGACCTTTTTTTCCCCCCGATTTTGTAAAAAGTATCTGAAAAAACATACATACAGAACTGGCCGAGTCGCACGCCTTAGATTTTTTGAAGTGTGGTCCTTGTTTTTTCAAGTGTCCCTTTTAATTTGATCTAGTTTTTGTTTCAAGACCATCGCGCGATCGTCAACCGTGTTAATCATTACTATATATGTATTTCAATAGGTAATCGTTAGTCAGCAATCGGAATCCGACACAAAGGAGAATAAATCCCGTTTCTTTTGTTGGTATTGTTCGCTAAGAAGTACATAGTAGTTCTTATGACTGTCTACTTGCTTAGAATATTTTTAGTTGACCAAGAACCACGAATATGGTTTTTCCAAGAAATCGTAGAGAGTTTCTCTCTTAACGGAGATTTCAGTTCTCAAGCTTATTGTACTGGGCTCGAACCAAAGCTTTGCGGAACGTAATAAATCGGAGTGTCTTTCCGTGCGATGGAGTAGTAGACGACTGCAATTAATGTCATTTCGTCTCTTTACTTTTTCGTTTTAGTTATTTACCACACTTGAAATCTCATTAATTGTTGTACTATATGAGTTAATAGGGACTTGAAAGAGCAAATTGATTTTAGAATATTTGAGATTACATAAAAAAAAAACAGCTTAGCCTCATAGTCTAGTTAGTTTATTTTTTAAATGTTATTTTCTTTTACAATTAATGACAATTTTTTCTAAAGCTTTGTAAAATTTAAGAGCCTTTCCCATTTTTTTTTTTTTTTTTTTTTTCTATCCTTACAAGCGATTAAGCGGAAGATCGCGCAATTCTTCCATCATGTTATTTATATAATTATCCGTGCGTGAGCAAGGATAGCTTTTAATTAAAAAGACGAAACTCAATCAGAGAGATATGAGAATTGTGTAAGTCGTTATTATCTATTTGTCGGATACTATGATTATTATATTTTTGTTTTGTCTTTTTTGATTGTAATTATAGTTATTTTTTTTTTTTCGAGTAGCAATGCTTCAGTGTCCTTTTGTTTATTTTCAAAAAACAAATACATTTACACGAATGAAACAAAAATATCACTCGGCAGAGAATGATCCTATAGCAGAGAAAAATAAAAAGTAGAGATCTTTTAGAGAAGCGGTCGAAAGTCTAAATTTCCACAATATTTTTCTAAACGGTACATTACGTCGATAGCACAAAATAGATTCTACAAAGAAAGACGAAAAGAATAAGTAAACTAATATTCGCGCATATCATACGTACATGACAAAAAGCAAAGCTCCTCTACTGCTGGCCCTGAACAAACGTAATCTATGTAGGTGCACTGTCAAATCAAAAGACATTGGACACTGATGCGTACAATATACATATACAAATACCAATTGGCTCCGTTTTGCAAAAACTGCGCTCTTGGATGATAACCAACATCAACAATTTGAACGAAGTGTTTGCAAAGAGCGGAACCTCTTATAATACACCTATTGTCCTACACACACGTATGCTGAATCGAACAAATATTGATGTATTATACAAAAATAAAGTGAAAATTGCGAACCTGACGAGCATCCACGTGCGACTGGATTTTTATCAATTTTCTAAGTACATAGGGTATATTTGTAAACATTGTCGAGAGGACGAGTGGGCGAGTCCAGAGTATATTGTAACAAACGAATTTTTCCATGCAGCGCTCGTCAAAGTCGCGCATATATATATATATATATATATATTGTAATAGTTGTCACACAAAACTTAGATGGATAATCGGCCTTTCAGTACTATCTGCGTATGAATCATGTTATATTTTTTACAAAACGTGAGGAGAGAAAGAGTGTTGGATGGTGTGAAATAATAATTAGAAACTGTAAATATTGAATAGCGAAGTCAAGTTATACATTTAATTATGTGAAATAAAAGAAAGAAAGAAAAAAGGAAAGGATGATTAATTTTCTCGCTCGTAAGCGTGCATTGCAACGTGGTACACGATGTAACAGATAAAGGCAGAGAAAATTTTGAGAGTCTGTCCGAATGATCAAACAATGAAACCCGTGATTTGTGGGTATAGTTTGTCTAGAGAGTGAATAAAAACAAAATCGAAACTTTTTTTTGTCGAATAAATACGAAACAAAATGTTTATGAGAAACGAGCTCGCTCACGGGATCTCGATGACGCTCTTACGCGGTAATGTGTACATTTCAATCTCCGAAAGATTTTTTTTTTTATTCCTTATCTCTTTGTTGTTCAAAGTGCGGCGCTGGCGGCTAATGTTTTTATTTGTTGTTTCGCGAGAAAGGAAATTGTTATCGACTGATACGGCGTTAGTGGGTTTTTTTTTTCTTTTTCCAGACAAAATGTGTGTACGAGCTCGGCATATCGCGGATCTTAAAATAAGTACAGCGTGCGATTAAATCGTATCGTGAACCCTCCGAGCGAGGGGAAACTTCATACATGTTTGCAAACGGAAAATTTCGCTTGCACCGATATATATATACATATACATATATTTTTTTTTTTTTCGTCGAGCGAGTTTTACAAATTGTCACACTTTGTACGCAAACAGGGACTTTCGTTGAAAGTACTCGTATCGTAAAAAAAATAAAAACAAGTTCTTCTCTTTCTTTTTTTACATCTTTAAAAAAAAAAATGTTCAGATTAGAACTTGTTCTACGTTTTTACGGTAAAGAAACAGTTTTGTAAAAGTCCCTGGTACGCAATATCCGGAACACTAAAGTGACTAGTACGTAACGAAGGAATATGCTTAACTGCGTCAAAAAATTAGTTTGAAACACGTGAAGGAAGTAACAAATCGATACACCGATGTAATTTACAGCATTAATTGGTACTACTTTTTTAAAATTATTTTCCATCTGTTAAACACTGCCAGCCCGATAATCTAGTCATAAACAGACGGGAGGACCTTGGAAAAAAGCTCTCGGCGTTATGTCTTTCTGTTTCGCGCCCGACAACAATTTGGCGAATGTCAAAGAGAGCGAAAGAGCCATCGCCGGTGAAAGCGTCCTCGTGATCTCGTAATTTTTGTACGATGTGTATAGAACTACAAAAAAAAAATATGAAGAAAAAAAAAGTAGAACTTATAAGCGGTAAGGAAAAGAAAAAAGAGCGTTACACGGGGAGGTGAAGTTTTTATGTCAATCGTAGTTTTTCTCTCGAGCCTCTTTATAAAAAGAAAATGCACACAAGCACGCACTCACGTGTTTTATTGTTTTGAATAATACAACGCTGAGCGTCTCTTTATTGTATTAGTTATCAGATGTTATCAGAGAATGAACGATGCACGAATAGTGAGAGATATTGTCTTCGGCGAAAAGAAATTACGTGTAATTGTATATCGATCATATTGTAAATATAGCCGTGTGATAACACGCGAGATCTTTTGTTTGTTTCGTTTGTTACTTAATTTTTTTCTTCATTTTACACATACGATTGAATTAATGAATTGTCCTTTTGGCAAGGGATGACGAATCGAATGTGAAATTCCAAGTTTTGGACGGAAACTTAAATTTTTTTTTTCTTCCATTTCGAGATAACTTGACGAAAAGAAAGTAATTTATCGAAACATTCTTTCGATTCGTCACCCATTGAAAATTGTGGCATTGAAGTTTATAAAAAAAAAAAAAAAAAAAAATGTGGAGAAGGAAAGAGAGGTTGTATACGTGGCATTTTCTACTCGACGATTAAGTGTAAGGGAAAAACAAAACGTTGTTGATGCAAAATCTTTTTTTTATACTCTGCATTTTTTCCTCACAAATATTTTTCCAAAATGCGTAAACGTGATTTTTTAACGCGCTAAGATGATTTTTTTTTCCTTTCCATTGCACACTAATCGGGGCATTTTTTTTTTTTTATAAAGAAAGACTATTTTTTCTGGTCGCACAAATTTTTTAAATGCGAAATAAACAAAACGATTTGCAACAAATTTGTATAGAAAAGAAAAAAAAAAACATCCCGATTGATTATACATGCGGACAGTCCTGTGCAATAACTGCGTTTCTTTGAGCTGCCTTCATTTGAAGTTTTATACAGTGTATTACAGTAAACAATAAACTATTATTATTATTACTTCTATTTTTTTTATTGAAAAACCATTTTATACTCAACGTATTAAATCATTTTCCACACTGACGAGTACAAAAATATATTTATTTATTCACAATTTGATAGCATCCTAATATCAAACTAATTTAAAGTATGACCAGCATATTTTACAAATGATATAAAAACGTGTATTTATGTACATTTTCAAGCTGCAATTTTTTTACTACTAACTACGCTGCAAATTAAAACATTTCGCAACATTATCATTGAGCAGAAAAGCAACATCCATCGAGTCTAGGTGACTGATGATTTTATCTGCTGTAAATATTTGTATGGCAAGTGGTGATTTGGCTTCTGATTCCCCCAATGACAAATCATCAGCTCTGTTGATAAATTCTTCGAGCGATCGTATCAAATCATCCGTACTTTTTACATTTTTACTATCAAGTAACAATTGCCAACTACTTGCAAGCTTCTTCCAATGTTCGCTCAATGGGCTTTTTTCCATGACATCTGCTAGGATAGTTTGATGTATGTTCAAACTGCGACAGATTTCAGTAGCGTCTTTTTTCTTCACTGACCACAGTATAGGGCACATCAATTCAAGAACGAAAATCAAAGTCTTTTGTGGAAAATATTCAGGGAACTCGAGACTCAATAGGCAGGCCTCAAATACAGTTTGAACGAGCACGTCAAAAACTTCAGGCTCACTTTTGTTCAACAATCCAATACACGAGCCTCTACTCGCTATAAACTCTTGGATACATCTAAAGCACTGCCTTTGAGAGGCATACAGCATTTCGTGTCTCAGTATATCTCGAGATAGCAGTTCTTCTGGATAATCCTTGCTAATAGAATCAAATTCAATCATAAACGTGTAGTGAAAGCGACGATATTTACAGCTAATGGATTCCTCGTGTACCTCATTGAACGCGTGCTCTAAAAGATCGTGCACTTGGCTCAACAAAGTGCTCACATGGTAACGATCAATTGATCCATCACGAGGTAGTTTTTTTAACAAACGTACGAGAAGCTGGTGATACAATTGATCAATAGGTTTGTCCAAATTTTCTAGACTTTTACATTGAGTAAGTACAGGGTCCAAGGTACACGAAGGTAGTAGGAGAAGAGGTAAGAAAAACTCTTCTACTAGTAAGTTCTTGCTCGTAATGTTCTTATCAACTAAAGTCTTTAGGTAGATCGACAGATGTGGCTGGCAACTACTAAAACCGTCGATTGCAATTTTTTGGAGCGCTTGTACTGCTAGAGGCACAGCTGAGGGTCTATCCATGTTTTTGCTATGCTTTACGATGATCACTAGAAAAATTAATATTTTATTTATTCATTGCTTATGTAAAAAATTCAATTCGATCTTGAAAAAAAATACCAACGAACCTTTTTCTTCATTTTGTACTCCAGCCATAGCCATCAAGCTGTCTAGCATGATTTTGTAAGTATTAGGCACTGGTATTTTCAGTACATTGAGGATCAGATCGATGTTTTCGTAACTTAAATTGACTAGATCAAAATTTCCGTGACCAATCGCTAATTTCGTTATCTCAACGATGGTTTTACTAGGTTGAAAGATCAAACGTTTCAGAAAATCCTTGTACTCTTGCTCGATGCGTCTTTCCGGATCTTTGAGCAGGAGATTCAATGGATCGTTCTCATCCAGGTGAAGAAAACCATCTTCACCCGAGCGCATAGGATAGCACTCGAAATTCAGCTTGTTCAGACGCCTCTCGCACTTGCCAAGTATTTTGAGCACAGCAGTAGGCATAAAATCTAGCAACTGTTTGATATTTCGCTTCGCCATTACTTTTACCATTCTTGTAGCACTGATTGAGAAAGTACTGCTGTCGTCACTCATCTTTCGACCTTCCTCCACAGACCTGACAAGAACTTCAAGTAAATTTTGCAGTAAGTCGGAATGTACCGATTTCACGTTTAATAGATTTTTATCCTCGTACTCAGCATCCTTCAATGATGAAACTGTAATTTGTTGGATCGACTTGACCAGCAGCTCGTAACTTTTACCCCCGAGTGCTTTAGCTGAGTATCGCAACAAATGGTGGCACTCGATGCCAATGGCCCGCTGCAGCGACAAAGCCGGCTGCTCCTCGTCATCAAACTCTGTCCAGTCCATGTAGCAATTGCAATCGACTTCTTGAACCTTGGAAATCAGTATACTGATCAAACACTTGTGAATATCTTCGCGGCATTCCAGTAGCGAATCGGATGGTCCAGTACATTCCTCGGCGCCGTTTCTACATTGTTCGGGAAGGTCTGAGTGCTCGCTTTTCAGACACCTGGTCAACGTACGCGCTAGAGCTTTTAATACAATACCCTGACGCTTGTGAATGTCCAGTTTGCGTATACCTTCGGAATTCATGAACCTGAAATAATCGTGTGAGTTTGTAAGATTTGTTATAAAAACAATGACAAGTAAAACAAATATTTTACGTTACCAACCTTTCTTTTTTGAAGAGATGAACAATTTCGCACAGATGGCTAACAAGCTTTCTTGTTTCTGCAATTGCGGCGTTAGAAACATCCAAGTCATTGCACATGTGATCTAATTTCTTGTACAAGTATGGAACCATCGTTGATATAAATTTGGTTGCTCGCGAAAAGTCTAGCATTAGGATGCACTTTGGCAGGACCTCCAATACCTCAGCGCATAAATTTACTGGAAAGTGTATCATAAATTCGCACAGAAAGGCATCGTAATGAAGGCTCCAAAGGATCTCTATGAGCATGTAAGGCGAAATAAGCATCTGCTGGGTTTCCAAGCGTTCAAACTCAGCTGCATAACCGCAGTTTTTTTGAAGTAGCCCTCTAGCCTTGAAATTAGTGAAGTAAATCAGGTAATTGTAAATCCATGAATTGATCGTTTCTTCGTATTTCCAATCGATCTCAATAATGCAATTGAAAATTTCACTGCAAAGAGATTCGATTGCTTCGATGATCGGCTCCGTTGAACGCTGCGAAATGTACCGTATATCGGAATCGGACTTGGAATTAAACTCATTGCAAGAAGACTGGATCACTTTGATGAATCCTTGTATGAATGTATCAGTGCTGCAAGCAAATAAATTTACCTTTAGAGATAACGATTTAAGTATTGTACTTTTCTTGCAATTAAGCATAATACCCAAGTGGTCTTGAACAACGAAACATTAAAAACAGTACATTAAGTATATTATAAAAGTTATTTGTAAAGTAAGCAACTGTAAGTAATAATGGAATTGGTTTGGTCTCTTACATGTCTTGCAAATTTTTTCGTATGAATTGAGCAATAATAAACAATGTCTCTGGTAATAATACGGGAATAAAAAAAAAAATACACGTGACTAATCGTTGAAAATGTTCTGCACGTTTTTGATTAAAAAAAAACGCACCAGGCACCCACACGAAACAGCAATCCTCAATAACTTATCAATTTGCAGAAATTCGTCATATCTGTATATTCAAGTGCATCATTATCTTCTTTTTTTGCACAATAATCTACACGTCAAGATCAGCTGCCAGTGCAAAACCGAGTGTGGTCGAGGTGTGTCTGCTGTCTCGAAGTTTCAATAAATAAAATAAAGCACTTACTCTGCGAAAGAAGACATGGTGCGAGCGTGGTTTATGGACGACAGCGACGCCGATCAGAGGTTGGAGCATCACCGCGAGCCACCCGCGTATATCGGTTTGGAGGATTTGTTCAAGCGCACCGGTGTCGAGCACTTCAAGGTTATGTGATGTTTTTATATTTTGATGTTTTTCGGAGCAAGTATTTTTGACACCCTCTTTTTTTTCTGCTGTCTCTCTCCCGCGCGGTTTGGTAAATTTAAAAAGGGCATGTTTGATTTCGGCAATTTATTATTGTTTATAATTTACTCTGCGACGCACATTGTTGCGGATGACGCATAATTTTGCGTTTCATTCAAAAATATTTGTGAGTTTTTTCAAAGTGAAAAGAAAAATAAAAAATATTCCACTTGTGAAATTTATTTAACTTCGCACTTATGAATTTCAGATCAATCACGCAGATCACCTCAACGATGCACTTTTAATCGAACTTAAGCAAAGAAGGGGATACTCTTACGAAGACGAGATTACTTGCTCTAAACAATGTCTTGCCAATTACGAAGAAAAGGTGCGTACATGCAGTATTAATATAATTTTTCTTTGAGCATAAGTTTAAAATGAAAGACATTTTTTCATAGTTGAAGAATTTTTTCACCGAACACCTTCACACTGACGAGGAAATTCGTTTAGTGCTCGATGGTTCTGGCTATTTCGATGTCAGGGATGACGAGGATCAGTGGATTCGCATTGAAGTTGAAGCTGGTGACTTGATTATTATTCCTGCCGGCATTTACCATAGATTCACATTGGATACTAAAGTTAGTAATACACGGTAGTTCATAAATTCTCCAAACATATGCTTGGAAAAATTTATTAGTTATTGCGTTATTGTAGGATTATATTAAAGCCAAGCGCTACTTTGTTGGAGAACCAGTTTGGTTGCCTTATAACAGACCTGTTGATGAAATGGAATGCAGAAAAAAATATTTGGACCGTTTAAAAAACGGTTTCGTCGTTGAAGTCAATTAATGAAGACATGCGTACTGCATAAATTTTAATATGCGTCTGTATTGTTAATTTTGCTAAAACTTTTCAAGCAGGATGTAATAAAAGATATATTTTCAAGTATGCTTGTTCGTTATATATTAAATTTATTATCAAATGTTTACAATAATTACAATTTTTTTTTAATTAAAAAGAGCTCCAAGATTTTTCTGGGAGTTTTTTAATTTTTTTTTTTCTCCTAATAAAATAACATGAGCTTAAATTAATTTAGAAAATGAGTCATTTGTTGATTGCACATGAAAAAATTTTACGGCACATCAGATATTTCTTACACTCAAAGATTATAAGTAACAAGCAAGAATCTTTTAAGGTATAACTAAGTCATGAGATATATATCATACAAAAATAGTAAACAGTTTGAATAATTTGTGCAGGAACAACGTTGCAGTTAAGTGTAAGAAAATTCTTCTGCAGTGAAAAAAATTCAGTATTCGACACCAAATTCTTTCTGTACTATCAAGTCAATTTCGAATTGATCAATTGATTTCGTTATATATTTATTTACATACTTACAGGTAGTAATAATTAGAGATCACTTAGTTTCTTAAACTTTGTCTGCTGGTCTTTCGGGCGACTTGTACTCAATCATAAGATAAAAATTTCAGCCAAGTTAAAAAAATTTTTTTTTTTAAATTGCAATCACATAGAGTGAACTTTGTAGTAATTCGAATATTAATTATTTTAAAAGCAAACGCTTTCCTATAGAGTAGAGTTTGTGCCTACTTTTATACTTCAAGATTTTAATCAAAATTTGTTTACAAACTCTTTCAATACAAGAAAACGTTACTTGAAATGAACTAACTTTGGTCAATATAATTTCAAAATCAGACGTGATTTGTGGTCTTTAAAAGGTCAATGATTAGTATAAACATCTTAGCGATCCGTCATTAATGGACATTAAAATCAATATTTTTTTCCCCACAAGAAACTAAATAATTGTATATGTGAATGTCAGGTGATACATATGAATAGAATGTAAATTAAATGCGAATTTGCTTAATACTTAAAAGTCAGCCTCTAACGAGAAAGTATTCTCAGTGTTATCTCTTTCCTGCATGACTCCCCACTTCTGGTATTCGCCTACTTTTTTCTCAAAGAAGTTTGTCTTTCCTTCCAATGAAATTTGTTCCATGAAGTCGAAAGGATTTTCTGAGCCGTACAGCTACAATTGATTAATTACAGATATTAAACTTTTTTCGCATCAGTATTTTTGCACCGTTGTAAGGATTAGAAGTAATATTTACCTTGGGCACTCCAAGCTCCTGCAGCAGTCTGTCTGCAACAAATTCAATGTACTGGCACATGAGCTTGCAGTTCATGCCAATCATCTCCACTGGCAGAGCATCAGTTAAAAATTCTTGTTCAATTTCAACGGCATCTTTGATAATGGAGGTGACTTTTTCGGGAGATGGCTTTTGTACAATGTGTTTAAACAACAGACAAGCAAAATCACAGTGCAATCCCTAAAACATACAAGGAGACAGCATTTTATGACACATTCGCGGAAAGATTGTGTAAAATAATAAATAGGAATTAAATTGAAAATAACCTCATCGCGAGAGATGAGTTCGTTACTGAAGGTAAGACCCGGCATGAGTCCTCGCTTTTTCAGCCAAAAAATAGCTGCAAAACTGCCACTGAAAAAGATACCTTCGACTGCAGCGAAAGCAATAACACGTTCGGCAAATGTAGCGCTCTCATTGCTAATCCAGTTGAGAGCCCAGTTGGCTTTTTTAGTAACACATGGCAGAGTCTCAATGGCATTAAATAAGAACTCTCTAAAATTGATCAAACACGAATCAATATAAGGTAACTGTTCATTTGAAAATATGGGGTATCAGAAAAATTACTCACCTTTTTTCTGGATCACTGACGTAAGTGTCAATGAGAATAGAGTACATCTCTGAATGGATGTTTTCTATGGCAATTTGGAAACCATAGAAGCAACGAGCCTCTGTAACTTGTACTTCTTGACTGAACCTTTCCACTAAATTCTCATTGACAATGCCATCTGAGGCAGCGAAAAATGCCAATACGTGCGAGATGAAGTGTTTCTCATCTGTGTTCAACTTTTGCCAGTCTTTAAGATCCTACAAATATAAAAATTGAAGATACAAGATTTCAAATACTTTTTTATATATATATATATACACAATTGTCATTAACCTTTGAAAGATCCACTTCCTCTACTGTCCAGAATGAAGCTTCCGCTTTTTTGTACATCTGCCAGATGTCTGGCCATTGAATTGGGAAAATGACAAATCTTCTTGGGTTTTCCATCAGAAGAGGTTCCAACTGTGGATCGAATTTTTGAGAATCTTCAAAATCTATTTTCTTAACAACTTTGCAAGCGTCAATCTGTAATAGATAATAATTATAGGAATAAGTAGTTACATGATAAATCTTGGTTTTTTAAGGCTACATTTTATAACTACTTACATCATTTTTTACTCCATTCTGATGAGTAATTGTTGGAGAGATACACTGTTTTTTGGGAGATATCTGAAACAATTTTTTCTTTTGATTATTTAGTTCATTAAATACAGATTACTGTCAAATCAAACAAATATTTAGAGAAAATTGTATGTGTGATGATAAAGGTGGCTTCTCAAATAAAACTTATATTTTCTACTGAAACTACAAGTAGTGGCAATATTGCACAATAATTACTCATACCATTAAGTAACCATGTTATCAAGCTGTTTATATTTTTTTTATCAAGAATAATAATAAGAAATGGTAATGGAATTCCAATTGTAACAAAATACTAACTGGAAAGTGTCCATTCATGCTATATTTTTTTACTGACACACTATCTTGCTGATCGGTTTAAAAGAAAAGTTTTAACAAAGAACATTTTTTGCTTTGGTTGACACTAAGGCACTCTACGACAGAATGAGTAGATTGGACAGTGATAAAGTTGATAATTTAATCCTTTCATTTTTATATATCTTGTTGCCGTGCTTGCGATAATATTGACTGTGGATTTCAAGTAACAGGAGGCGAACAACTTGAGAACAATATCGCATGTTTTTGAAATACCATCGTCTGCACAAATGCACATGTATAGCTATACATGGACTGAATGAAAACATTATTATCATTGGAGTAGGTATCGGATATTTTAAAATATTTATTTTTTTCCGAGTAATAATTTGATTACAACAATTTCAAGAAAAAACATTTCGTTGGCATTTGACACTTAAAAAAAAATTCTTTTAGATATATTATACTGATAGATTATGCTGATGCAATACACTTACACATATATTTCTATTCCGAATATAGACATACAAAACTCATATATTTAGAGTTACCTATCATCATATTTTCTAAATAAAATGAAACATGTTGTGTCATTCGACAGAAAAAGACTATAATTGATTATTAAGTGAAACTGGATTATGTGATGTATATAAAAAAAAAAAAAAAATCGCCGAGTTGGAAAATTCCAAGAAACAATTAAAAGCAGTCAAGACATAATCACGCGCTCGTGTAATTAAAGCCTACATTTTTTTGTCATTTACCTATCAAATTTTATCAAAGTAACATTAATGAAACAAACTATGATTAACTAAAGCAATTTACAAGTAGAAGAATTTGTTGGGTTGTGAAAATAAATGTGAGCAGGTTTTCTCAAGATATTTGTGTAATACATATAAGGTATCATGAAAAGTTCTCAAGACCCAAGCCTTCTACGCTATCACAGAATTGTTGGAGCAACGCTATTAATGAATTTTACGTAATGACGTAAGCTTTCGGAGCACTCCATTTTGGAGCGGATAGCAAAAAGGCGCGCTTTTATTTTTTATCACGTCGTCGCGATATTGGGCGCGTGTGTCTTTCTCTTTCCCAACAGCAACAGTTGATCGTAGGTTTGTAGAGTGTGTACTTAGGTGTGGTGCTTTCCCGCGTTTTTAACGGCAAGAGTTAATACTTCATTGTGCTAATAGTGTCGAAATGGAGACTTTTAATGGTCTTTTGGGAAAGTTTAGAGGTTGTTGAAAACTATATAATTTATCATAACTTATAATCGAAGAAATGGCAATTTTTTAGAAAAATCGTGGTGTACGAAAGTCGTACAACTTCAAACCTTGGCTTCCAAGGGAAGGAATTAAAAAAAAATGTATGAAAAAACTACAACATTACTTATGACGTGTTCAGCGAGTAATAACGAAGGCGAAGGTGATGTGTATTTACAGTCTTACATATATTCTCCCTTTTCTACTTTTCTAAACTGGAGTCGTACTCCAAGAAAAAGGTACGAGTATCTACAGCCTAATATTAGATTGCTCCGAAAATAAATAGATACATCTTTTGCATGTAAACTTTTAATTATTTACATTTGACACGTATCGATACAGTGCACGGCGTAATAACGAAATTGTGTCTAAACTAACGACAGAAAATGATATTTAGATGTTCAGCACCTGCAACAATCCAACTGTCACGTAATACGATTCTCCTGACGTTTTCCCGAGCTTTTGTTGTGTATCCGTTGCAATTGAATGAAAAAAAAAAGTATTAAAATAGCCCGAAAAAAAGTACTCACGAGTGAAACAGCCTCGATGCCCTTCAGCACGTTCTCCTTCGTTGAAACCTTGAGGGCCATCTCCAGGGATTGGGATTCGCAAGTCAAACTGTGCACGAGAGATCCGAAAGGAGTATATAGGAGTCGCTGGCAGGAAAAACGCCCGAAAGTCTAATACGTGGCTCACGTACGCCTCACGTTTGTCGGAACTCCAACAATGGAATGAATGACGGGGGGCCCCTCACTGCAGTGCACAGTTGACTTTTCAGGCGGCAAACGCCGGCTCTCTCAGCTGTTTTCCCCTCCAAAATAAATGTAAGATTCTTGAGGGAGCCAATAGGGTGATTACTCGCGCCCAAAGCAGGACAGAGCGAGCTAGGTCTCTTCCTCCCCAATTGGTTCGACGTTCGTAGAAATTTTCCGTTTTCGGTCCCATGGAGGTTGGTTGGAGGGAGGGTGCGTATACTGCGTATGAAGTTGGTGAAGATTTCTAAGAATTTTACAGGGCATCCTTTTGCGGGAGCTGATTGGGAGAAGTTGCGAGTTGCGAGCAAGAACAAAAAAGATGCGTTTGGCGCGTGAAGTTTTGGCGCTTGTTTTTGGCGCCCATTCATAAAATATAACTAAGTATGCCTTTTAATTCACGATTGACCGTTGCAACAATGAAAGTTGGCATTTCGGTACCTACTTGTGGTGTTGTGGTGGCGATCATTTTTCCCATAATATTAGAGATATGTAGCTTTATCTTTTTTCTCAAGTATCGATTATTTAAGCTCCATCTAAAAGAGTAATTAAATTTACTTAAGATTATCCAAAAAATTCGAAAAGTTATAATGATTCAGCACAACTACAGGAGCATTTGGAGTGTTTAATAAATAATTTGCTGAAGATATCAATTATTTTTATCCAATCTCGTAAACGTATTTAGATAAAATTGCTTTTAACTTGTGAAGAAAAGTTCTTACTCGAAGTAATTAACTTCGCCGTTTTCAAATGTACTTAATAGGGGCTTAAATTCATGAAAATGATTTTGTGAAATGATCCATGTAGTAGTAAAGTGTACTATATACATGTGTATTGTGTACCCCCGACAAAAATTCTCAAGTCAAGTTGAAACACGAAAGCGTTTATAAGTTATATGTATGTATATATGGTACAAGCGTTCAACATCTGCCATTCTGATATATTTAATAATGGGATTTTCCCACACCCTGTCACCCTGCAATGCCATCTTTCACCATCACACGTTATGTACACACCCATAGGAAAAAATAAAATAAAGTAAGTATGATTCTACAGACATATAAGTATTTTAATTCCCCCTCGCGTTAATTATAATAAAAACTCGTGAAGTAAAAGTGTTTATAGTAATAATCGGCATCCCATAATGTATAATGTAATAGTCGCGTATGGCTCCCATTACCTTGTTAAATAAATAAATTAACTAATATATCGTGTTGGCATGTCCACCTTTATGAGAAAAAAAAAAAAGAATTTCAAGAGCCAAACAGATCGCTAGTATGAATCATGTCTACAAAATTAGTTGCGGCTGGTTTATAATTGATTAAATGGCTCATAGGCCCTAACTAAAGCTCTGATTCAGAATTTTAGAGTCCACTTTTCGCGAAAAAATGAAGACCGCTAGATGGCGCTAATCCAAATAAATATTACTACTTATATAGCAGAGCCCTGTAATCTATTAAAAAACCAGCTGCAACTATACTCTCATGGATATTTAGCATAAGAAGTTGACATTGTCTTATTTGCGGCAAGTGCACAATTTATCTTTTATCCGAAAATCGACCTTCTATATAAGTATATTTATAAATCATATTTGACGAATGCGCAAGTTAGGTTAGGTGTTAGGTTTAGGTAGGTATCGCAGAAGGATATATATATCTATATATACCCATAACTTTTGCGGTATCTAACAGTTTTTTTATGCTTTTATTGTAATTAAAAGTTAAAAGGCTGCGGGTTAACTATGTCCATCCCGGTTCTGACAAGCAAAATGGAAATGGGGTTTTTTGAAATTTTTGTTTCCCTTTTTTCCCTAAATTCGTGATCAACTTTGTTAGGCTATTCAATTGTCATTCTATTGCTACCACAACGTAAAGTTTTTTATTAAAATAATTGAATACTGCATACTTTTGTGACTAGTAGATTATGATTCACCAAAGTAAAGTGTGGATAGTGGGTAGACACGAAAATGGAGGTGTTGAGGAACAATTTTCACGGTTTGAGTAATACAATACGATAAAAAGTGGCCCACTTAGGTAAAAAAAAATTTTGTTTCTGCTGCAATTGTTTATCAGTAAAAAAAAAAAAAAGTGTTACAGGTGTGTCATGCGCAGGTAAGAATATCATGATCATCAATTTTGACACTTTAATTTAAAAACCAATTATCAAAAACCCTTATTGATGGTTTTTTAATTATATTTAATAAGCAGCTACATTTTTATGATGATTTTAAGAGAAAACAATATCCTTTTTTTTTGCTACAAAAATTTTCAGTTATTTCGATCTTGAGTTGGAATGACAGAAGACAGACAAAATAAATTGTAGGCAAGCAATTATGGGTAATTATGTTACATTTTATGAAAACTTGTTTTTTTACTCAATAAGCATTGTTAAAAACGTTGCAGAGTCAGAAATCGATATTAAAGATGAAAATCCATTTTCTCACTCTGAACCCACACTCAAGTTTGATGCATCTGATAATTCAGGTTAGTGCAGTGTAAACAAAAACTAACAATTATCATACAGTGAAAAAAAAATGTATACACCTACTTGTTTACAGATATTGAAGTATTAGCTGTGTGTAAAAGTACAGCTCCTCCAAGAAATAAGTTACTAAGGCCAATATACAGTCGTAAAAGAGCAAAAACTTCTGCAGACTCAGGTAATTTTTTAATTACTTTCTTTGACAAGTAATGAAATCACTCAAAACAGTTCATTTTCGTTTATTTTAGCAAATAATGGTACTTTAAATAGCAACAAGTTATTAATTAAAGAAGAAATCATTATTTCCGATGGGTCAGGTATGTATTCAGCTTTTTCAGTTTTATTAATTATGCATTTTAATCTTTACTTGTTCATTTCAGATGTGGAAACCGATGACAAATGTACACAAGGTGTTGATAGTAAAATAAAAACACAAGCACAAAAACTTGGGCAAGATGGTAATGTTGAAAAAAATGTCCAATTTTTATGTAATTATTTGTGTAACATGAATATTTGTTTGACAGAATCTTTAAGTGCAATAATTCTCAACTGTTCAAGATGCAATGTAACAAGAAAAGTATTTAGTATTACCTTAAAAAGTAATTGTAATGAATGCAACGTCAGTATGCATTATGTTTGCAACAAATGCAACTACAAGTATGACAGTATGCCTGCGTTGTATAGACACAAAAAACTTCAGTGTCAGTTTACGACGTCAAAAAAAAATAAGCCACGTAAGGTCCAAGCATTTTAATTAATTTATAATTATTACGAGTGAACCTAAACGTTTAACATTGCTGCCTTTTCGTAGGCTTAACATCGATGGCGATAATGAAGTGTAACAATTGTGACCAGGTGAAAAAAATGTTTTTCACTCAAAGGAATCCACCTTTATGTTCTCCATGTCATATAAGGATGTGCTATCAGTGCATAGTTTGTAGCAGGCCCTACACTTCGTACTCTGGCATATACACCCACGTTCGGCGCTATTGTCAATTAAGACGCCGTGTCTTCTACTGCAATGATTGCCCTTACAGCTGCACCAAGCCGTCTACACTGATACGTCACTTGAAGCTAAGTCACTCGAAGCAATTAAAAACGCGCAATACCGTATGCTCCAAATGCAATGTAACTTTCGCGGACTTGAAACAACTCCGAGCACACAAACTTATCTGTAGTTTGTCACGGTATCAATGCAAGTTTTGTAACTATAGGCCAAAAGTCATCAGCAAACTACAGAAGCATCTGTTAACGCATCACCCTCAGAATATGGAAACTGAAGGTCTGGAAAATGCTATGACTTCTGTAGCAGAAAAAAAAAAGATCAAAGGTACAAATTAAAAATTAATCTCATCGTGAATAGTTGAATGATTGAGTTTTGTTTTTGTTGTACTTTCAGGAGATGCATTCTTATCTATAGTCAGGAAAGATGGAGATTTAAAATTATTGGGTTTGTAACCGTACTAATGCTAAAAACATTAATGATTTATCAGTGTGTTGATTCTAATCCATAAAAATTTTTGTAGAATTAAACTCTATTAAAAAGTTGTACTGCCCGAAATGCAAGAGAACCAATGATTACGTCGGTAACTTGTGCGCCTGTTCCACGTGCAAGACATCATACCTGTACCAATGTAGTCGCTGTCAGAAAAACTTTGTCACATCGGTGTCACTGCATCGCCACGTGCGTCGAACTCACGCAGAGCCTAAATTCAACTGCGAAAATTGTGGCAGGGGCTTTGCTTGCCTAGGTGACATGAACGTACACAAGAAAATTTGCGGCCAGAAGCTCAAGTACGAGTGCTCGATCTGTGAGTTCAAGACGCGCTACAAAAACAGCTTGGGATCCCATATGTACAAGCTGCACAACGACAACAGGAAGGCATTCCGGTGTGACGTTTGCGGCGTTGTTTATAAGACGAATAGAGCAATCAAGAGACACCTGAAGATCGGCTGTAGCACGATTGAATAGGTCCAAGAAGGTTTTGTTTATCACAAGAAGATTATATAGTCAGTCAGAATTCTGATGTGATTCTAATCATACTATCAGTTAATATTTTTGTTTAAAGATTGTTAAATTAATTTACTTTACATGAGATTGCGTCAATTTTTTTTTCATCCAAGTGTTCTTATTATGTTTTTTTATTAGATTTTAGATATAGTTATAAGTGTTTTGTGATGAACGCTAGATCCCGTTTGAAACTGCTTGGCAATTTAGATTTTGTAAGTTGATAAGGTTGTTTTGTTAAATATATGAAAAAACAGACAAACGAACAAACTTAGCTCATCTAAAAGTTAAATAAATAACTAGTAAATATGCGTTCCTACTTACAATTAGTAAAGAAGACTGTCTTTGCAATCTTTGCATACAAGTAAATATAGGTTGAAAATATGTTTTACAAATATAAGAACCAAAGCATTGTATAACTTGTAATAAAAAAAACAAGTTAGATAAATATAATCGTTTCTTATTGCGTCCTTATTGTAACCATAAAATAAATTCATTACGTGAATAATTCTACTTTCATATTTTTATGAAGCCCAACATCGTCCACTAATAAAATATGAACCATTTTATTAATAATGTTTGTTATATTAGACCTTTGCTAACTTTACAGGAATACTGATTAAATAAAACTTGATACACGAAAAAATGTTTTTTTTCTTTTTTGTTAAAAATTACCCTCGAAATTACCTGCATTTACCACTCGTCATTCTAACTAAATGGTAATTTAATCACTTAAATATAATAGGTACCGATTTAAAAAGACCTAACTCTAAACTTAATTGTAAATTTGATTTTAAAAAAATTCTAATAGGTTCACGGTTGAAAACGTATTTCTTGCTTTTAAATTTTTTATTTTTTTTAAGCACTACCAACAATTGAATGCTTACTTTTTTGAATATTTATGCCATTACAGCATAACTTAATCATGCAGATTCATTCAGGTTAAAATTAATTATTTGTAATACCGTCAGATATACAAAAATATAAAAATTGAAGTAGAAAAGAGTGTGGACAAAAAGTGGCAACAAAATTTTATGATTTTTAAAGTTTTCAGCATTAAATTAATTTAACTCTTCGGGATTAACCTTTAAATTAACAATACACTAACGCAATAACGTATCAGCAGTCTGCAACATGATTCTTCTAATTACAACACATGCACAAAATTAAATTATCCTATTTTAACGACATAATTAATATAAATATCTGTGAAGTATCATCATCCACTGGTGACATGCTGATAATGTTTTTGATGGTTGTAGCGAATCCTATCACGGAAATTGTGACCGGAAGAGAAGAAAAAATAATTGATAATACCACTGATTATAACATATACGGAAGTAGTGCATCGTTTAATTATTTTGATGGTCCTGAAAAGGACCGTTTGTAGGAGGATAGACCAATTTTACTTGGAACTAGTATACTTGGTTACGGCTTTAGTGCCCTCGGAGACGGCGTGTTTAGCCAGTTCACCAGGTAGTAGTAGCCTGACTGCAGTTTGGATTTCCCGAGAAGTGATGGTAGATCGCTTGTTGTAATGAGCCAAACGGGAAGCTTCGGAGGCAATGCGTTCGAAGATGTCATTGACGAAGCTGTTCATGATGCTCATCGCCTTGGAAGAGACTCCGGTGTCAGGGTGCACTTGTTTCAACACCTTGTAGATGTAAATCGCGTAGCTCTCCCTCCTTTTCTTGTGCTTCTTCTTCTTGTCCCCCTTAGTGATGTTCTTCACTGCTTTTCCCGCCTTCTTCACGGCTTTACCGGACGCTTTAGGTGGCATGTTGAAAATGCGAGAATCTCGTTTGGAGAAGTTGCGAGACTATTATAATGGGGCGGAGAATCAATTTTGTTTATATTTGCGTTAAAATGGTTACTCCGAGATGAACCCCCACTCTTCGGAAAGGAAAAACGCAGCTACTCCGCGCCAATAGCCTTTGACTTGTCTCCCACTCTACGAGTAAGCTGATCAACCATTGGTTCGGAGTAGCTGTTGAAAGTGGGGGGTAGCATTCGGCGTAGCAGCTTTGAAGTTTATAAATAGAGGGGCACTTAGGCTGGAGGATCAAACGACTCGTAGCTGTTCAGTTAATCACTCACCCTTCGTCAAATCTTTATATCATGTCTGGTCGCGGCAAAGGTGGTGGCAAAGTGAAGGGTAAGTCCAAGACTCGTTCAACCCGTGCCGGACTTCAGTTCCCAGTTGGACGCATTCACCGCCTCCTGCGGAAAGGCAATTATGCCGAGCGAGTTGGAGCTGGTGCACCGGTCTACCTTGCCGCCGTTATGGAGTACTTGGCCGCTGAGGTTCTGGAGTTGGCTGGCAATGCAGCTCGTGACAACAAAAAGACCAGGATCATCCCCCGTCACCTTCAATTGGCCATCCGAAACGACGAAGAGTTGAACAAGCTGCTCTCTGGTGTAACAATCGCTCAGGGTGGTGTCCTGCCTAATATCCAGGCGGTACTTCTGCCCAAGAAAACCGAAAAAAGCTCGTAATAACCTTCCCCCTGGGGAGTATAACAACAAAAATCGGTCCTTTTCAGGACCACTAAATTTATTAAACGTCACACTATTTCGTACATAACATCTCTAGACTTCAAATTGTCGTCATTTTCTTGTGGTAGATATTCACAGGACCCTGAGAAAAATTCTAGGTTAGGGAATTTCCTTTTTTTCCTTCAAAAGAGAAATGGTACCGTTTTAGTTCGAAATCAGTACTGTTAGATAGCGCTGATCACTTTTTCACGCAATTCTTTGGATGTCGCTAGCGTCAAACTGTACTAACAGCTGCTAAACTGCAGTCGGTTCGCTTGTTATCTGAGTTTGTTTTTTTTCGTGTCTCGGCGAAAATTTCGCATTTACAGCGTTATGCCTGTCGAGATGATTTAGTTTTTTTGAAATAGAAAAGCAAGAGGTGAACCAAGACAAACGTGGGAGCTCGTAAAACCACGGAAGAGATGTCCAGTTCATCTGTGAACGAGGTTAGAAGTCCTCCCGTGGGTGCACCTCAGGATGCTCCTCTTGCCACGGGTATGTGTAGTATTTGGGTGGAATTAATATTGTTGCTATGTTGCATCTCTCATGGCAATCATTTTTAATCAAAGTACCAAGAGAGTACGTGTAGATACACCAGCTGTGCATCATGAGAACCTGTTTGTGTTGATTGACGTGCACATATATTTAATTGAGTAATCGTCTTTTTCTCGATTGGAATGCTGTGCTCTGTTGTGATATAATTAGGTAGTGTTTGCACATTCTTTTTTCCTTCAGCTGTATGTATTGAAAGTTATTTTAAACTTAGCAAATAGTCGTTCTGGTTTAATAACTGTTTATTATCTTTTTGACATTTGCTGGAGTTTGATACTCTTAAATATGTAAACAAAGAAAAAAAAAAGAGTGACTGATTACCTAAATTGTGGTATAATTATAACTTCTTAATTGGTTGAGATGAATTATAAGAATATTCTCAAGAAAATTACTTGAATGCTTTTTACTGTAAGTAGCAATTATAATTGCTTGGGATATTGTAAATAATTTTTTGCATGGTTTTTTTTGTTCATAACAATGTTGATATATCGAGGTTCGTGAATTTCAGGCAACATGCAGGTTCAAAATAAAATATCCTATGAGGACATAGCATCAAAGTTGCTCAGCGAAAGGCTGCTGCTTACTGCCTTGGAACTTCACGCTGAACTATGCGAGGCAGATCGAGAACTACCCGTACTCAGAAATTTTTTCTCCGATCCCAATAACTTTGAGTGCTTAAATATAAAACCAGAACCATGTTTGTCCTTACGTAAGTATACTCGCTAAAACTCGAATGTTTTTTTTTTGTTTTTTTTTACAAGGTTTTTTAACCTTTTTTATTATTGAAAATATTGTCACCAGCAAGATCATCCAGCCAGGCAACGTTAGATTCTTTAGATATGACGAGATTTTCCGAGGATGGGGGCGGTATTGACGAAAGAAATGCCATTCTAGAGTTTGAATTGAGAAAAGCCAGAGACACCATTAACTCTCTGCGTGCCAACTTAACAGTGGTGACAGGTAATACTTAAAAAATCCTCATTACCACCCATTGATCTTAATTTTGCATACTTTTTTTTTTTTTTTTTTTTTTTTTCCTTCCTTTTCGCGATCGCGCGCGCGCGCGCGCCTCGGCCGCAGTGGCAGCGAGNTTTATAATATTTTTCATAATTTTTTAGAATCGGAAGTCAGCACCCCTGACAAAAACTCAGAAAAAGGAATCTTTGAGCACCCCATCAAACCACACGAACAGCGCGCTCTGAACTTTCTAGTTTATGAGTACTTGTTGGCCCAATCGTATAAGCTAACGTCGATAACGTTTAGTGACGAAAATGAGGACCAAAATCTCGAGGATTGGCAGGACGTTGGCCTAAATATCCCGAAGCCAGCAGAGTTGCTGCAAGTCTACCGGGAATTCATGAGATCGACTGGCTGTGACAGACCACCGTCCAACGATGTTGGGATTCAAACCGGGGACGCGGAATCCGAGGATAAGGAAAAACAAGATGAACTGAGTAAGATTGTCAGTGACCAAGCCGAAGAAATGGAACGCCTAAAGCAGCAAGCTGTTACGCTTGAGCAGGAGAAAACGAACCTCCAAGCTATGTTGGCCAGTACAAGTTTCACTTCTAACACCAATGTCGCGCACAAAGGTAGCTCAGGGACGATCCAGACGTTAAACTCGAGCTCGACGACACCAGACAAATTCGAGATGCTGGAGACGCCAGCCCAGGACGCGTCGTCGACGATTGCCGTGCAAGAGAACGAGGACAGCGTCCAGGAGGACGACAGCGCCTCAATGGTCGTAAGCATCGGCGAAACAGAGACGAGCGAGCGCGACTGGACGAGGATACACTTTTTACGAGCGGATCTGCCCGACGGCGCGATCAGCAGTGCGAATACACCGTCGAGGCATTTACCGGCGAGTTTCAGGCGCGAAGTGCTGAAGCACTGTTTGATCAAAGCATCGGACAATGCTATACAGATAATCGAGGAGCCGCTCAAGGAGGGCATTACGCGCGATAACCTGCCGGACATTGCGGCCCAAACTTTACCGCGGATCATACCCAACGTCATCCTGAACAGGCGTGAGGAAGTCATACCCTTGCTGCTCAGCGTTTTCAAGTTACAGGGCAACGCGGCCGATCGAGAGAAGCTTCTTCAGATTCTATTCAATCTTCAGAAACGACCTCAGGAGGATGAGAGGCACACGATCCTCGCTGGACTGACAGCCATCGCGAAATTAGAAAAAGAGCCGACGGACAACGAGGAAGTGCTCAATCTGTGCTGGGAGCAAAGCCAACACAAGTACCTGGAGCGTCGGCTGTTGGCGGCCGAGTGCTGCTCGGCTCTCGCTATTTACACGACGAGTGGCGTCAGAAACTCGCTTATGATATCGATGCTCCAGCAGATGCTGCTAGATGATAGGGAACCTGCGGTCAGAGTCACTGTCGTCAAGAGCCTCGGACTACTCGTTGCTCTCATGGACGATACGGACAAGTACTTTCAGGTGATTTGCTGGTTTTATAATCTTATGCCAAAAATTAGAAACGAAACAAATGCTTCCTTTCTGTTACTATAGTGCGAAGAGCTGGCACTGACGGCGATGGACGACCAGGCACCGGAAGTGGTCGAGGCTGCGAGTACCGTTCTCATACCGATTCTTGCGCAATGGGCTCTGTCGCTCAAGAGACTTCAATCTCACTTGCTTTCTCGGATTCTCGCGAAATTAAAGAATCTGCTGAAACCATCGAACTCTCCAAGTAAGGATTACGTGGATAGCAATCGTGCAGCGGCTCTCATCACGGTCTTGCGTTATTTGCTGCCTCACACCATTGTCAGCGTCGTCGACACGGAAGCCGTGCGCAAACGCATGCAAGAGAGCTTGTCGTCTCAACTTCGTAAGTACTGTACTGCTGGTCGTCGAAACAGCGGAGTATAATTAAATGTTGGGGACTGGAATCATTTTTACTAACGTTGCAGCTCCCGAGTTCACAAGTCTCTGCTGTTTGCCGATAGTCAATCCTAAAAATTTTTACGAGTGCGATGTGGACATGGGTGTACTGTTAAATACATTCCTTCTTAACGCGTGGGACGACATTACGTGGGTCGAGCTGGAGTGGTTGTCTGACAAATTGTAAATCTGCATGAAAAATTGTTTATTCATATTTTTTAATTATTAACATTTTTACTCATACGTTATTGTTTTACAGAATACTCGTCCTTACGGAAATAACACAGTGCGTCACCTTGGCACAGGAGAACATAGTTCAAGAATTCCTCACATATCTTCAATGTTTTTGCTTGGGATTTGGCAAATTCATAACTCAACGAAAAGTGTTGACGGCCTTCAAACTTTTGATAGAAAACATCGAAACTGAACTGTTGAATCCAGACATTAGTCAGAAATTAATGTATCCCCTCGTTATACCCACCTATTTAACAATACTCTCTACCTTAGATGATAATGAATTCATGAACTCTCTAAAACATTTCCTCATTACGTTATCCATGCGTGGCGAGAACCTAAGTGGCCTTCAGATTGTGGTTGTGAAGTTCTGTGGTCAAGACAGACTACAAGAATACGTGCTCTCAGGCTTGTGGAGTGGTAAGATTAATAATTTTGCAAATAACCGTGTCAATTTAAGTATTGCTCGTATTGTAATTTAACTTTTGAAAACCAACAGGTGTCGTTCATCACGAGCCAATCGTTAAGTGTGCAACGGCATCGTTGTTTAATTCAATTATTTCTCAAATCTCGAATAAGCTAATCGACGTTAGAATAGTCCCGGCAATAGTCACACTCGCCAGTGACTTGGACGTGTGAGTTTTTCAATTTATTCTCCAATGTACACTAAATGTTAAATACTGGTAAATATTATTAATCTCTAAAATATTTTTAGTAACGTCAAATCATCCGCAGTCCAAGTCTTAGGCAAACTCATAACGGAAAGCGATGCAAAGGAAGCGAAAGAGAAAGCTCGTTTAACGCTGGAAACAATAGTTCGCGATCCCCAGGGCATACCAGCAGATTTAAGTGTTCCATTGATCTTAACCCTTGCTGCCGTAGCTCCCTACTGTCCGCAAAATTACGTCGAAGATGGTGAGCAGTCTTTTTTTTTCGCAATAGTGTGCGGAAAATAGGTGTTTTCCGCACTGGTATTAGTGTGGAAAATCGATTTTCCCACACAGTGTGCGGCAAAGGTTTTTGTCGCACAGTGTGGAAAAAGTTTTGCCACACACCGGAAAAAATTTTGCTACACACTGGAAATCAAAATTCAAATCTATTTTGTACCTATTTTCCTCACACATTGCGAAAAAACTTGTACGCAACTCGTGCGGGACGATTTCCCGCACTCGTGTGATAGACTCGCACTCGTGGCCGGTGACGGTAACTCGTACCTTGCGATCACACTCGTGCTACGCACTCGTGTGCTCAACTGGTACTCGTTCCCGTCAACACCGGCACTCGTGTGAGTCAATCACTACTCGTGCGGGAAATCGTCTTTTCCGCACTTGTTACGTAAATAACTATTTTTTATAATTATTTTTATTTATCCTGAACCAACACTAACGTGAGCCGTATTTCAGTGATCGCAACTCATTTAACGGGCATAACAGCTTCAGCAATCCAACACAATCCAAGAGATGATTTAACAAACGCTCTAGTCGAGGCCTACTCTGTTTTAGTGTATTGCAATTTGAGTAATCAATGTATTGTTAATGCCATTTTGCCAGGGTTGAAGTACCTCGACAGCTTGGTTAATACGGTAGCGCCTCAGCAAAAAGAGGCTGTCCGCTTGCTTTTGCGGGAAATAGAGTTAAAAACTAGCAAAAATATGGAAAGGTAACTAAACTGTACAATTTAAATCGTCTTTTTTTTTTATTTTACGTTAAGTAATAGCTATTTATTTGCTTTTCAGGTCAGCGTCTGCTGGCTCGGGCCTTTCGTTGTCATCAATGGCCTCTGGTAACGTTGCTCAAGGTGTCGAAGATATGCGCCAGCGCGTCAGCAAAATTTTCCACCATAAAACAAACTCGCCCAGCATACCGAACATATTTCGTAAAAAGTGAGGTAGAGCAAACACTTCTATTGCAACAATGACGGTAAATTATTATTATTTTTTTTTCATCGTTGACAGCTGCTGTACAATGAATCTAGGCTTTTGCACCCTCTCATTTGTATTATATTGCATTGTAATTATGCATACTATATTTTTAATTGTTATTTATATACCACCGTTTGAAGGAGAAGAAACGCTGAGTAAGAACGGGTTTGATGTGCGTGTGAATATTTTACGAGTTTAGTACATCGGAATTACTTGTTAATCAATTGCCCAAACTCTTGTGGGATCCATGTAAATATATGTATAGTGTTTTTGTATTATTTTTCGTTCTCACTTGATTATTTCTGATACGTATTATTTAAAATGAAATTTGTTTATCCAAGTGGCAATTTATTTAATTTTGTTTAACTTTTCTGGATTTTTAAAAAGATTTTTAGTGTTAGTATTGCTCAAAAGCGTATTTCTTACTCTATTACGTATATTTTTGTGTGTTAATGAGCACACTACACTGAGACTAAAAAATTAACACAATATGCATCAACACTCTTTGTGGTAGTAAGATTCATTTTTATCATTTTTTAAATAATCATGTTGAAGATTGCAATTAATTTATTTTACACGCTCAGTCCCGTGTCATATATACGTAAATGTGCTTCACGATTGCACCACCTTTATACTAAAAGCAAAAATGAATTGCCTATGTGATGAAATTGTTTAGATATGGATAAAGTGATGTTTAACAGAGTTTCGTTGAAAAATTATAATAAATTCTTGTTGCAAGAGGAGTTTTAAATTGTAAGAAAGTTATGTATGTGAATATGTAAATTTCCTAGTTGTACTTAAAGTATGCCTGTGTGTAAAGTATGTAAGATGGAAAAAAAAATACACGAAACTTCATAAGTTTTGTATCGATCATTCCTCGAAAAATCAAAAAAATTAAAGGGCGACATATTTTTTATCAATGGTGTTGAGCGTAAATTATAAATATTTTTTATAGTAGTTACATCCACTTAGTGATGATGTGAGGAATAACGGTAAATTTTAAAAGAGCACCCGCGTTTTACTCTTAATATTTTTGCAATGCATATTTGATTAGCGCAATAGTTTTAAAACACGTTATACGTATTGCTGTACAACATAGAATCCCAGCTCGCTTTTAAAAAAGTTTGGACTTGTAGGAATAAGTATAAATACGATATTTTTGAAATGCGGAAAAAAGCGCTAATTGACGATTTGTTACGAAACCTTTGAAATTATTTTTGCTTATGCACATATAATTACGACCAATTAATTGTACATACAACTTGAGGAATCGAAAGACTAAATATTATCCAAGTTAATTATAACGTATCATTAAAACAAATATTTTTCACGTACGTTATGCACTGAAAAAAGTTGCAACTGTTTCTCTTTGATGTAATATTTTAATTAATCGTTGAGGACATTTACTATCATAAATCTATTTTATCTCAAATGAATTGAAATTTTATTCGCACGTTTCATCGAAAATTTTCGAATTCTTAGAGTGTAAGAAAGATGAAATGTTTTAAACAAACAATTATTATTTGTATATTTTTGTATAATAAACATTGTTGATACAATACAATACATTGTATTACTTGTAAGAATATTTTATTTACGTTATATACAATCGTTACACGCCATACAATTGGCGCGTATAATCCGTCGCATCTCTCGCTTAATCGTTGGACAATAAATTATTTCAATTAACGAATAATAAATAATTTTATCTCTCAATAACAACTGCCCACCTTTCAAATAACTATCGCTTCTCATTTAACCAGATAAAAATTATTACGATGTACAAAGAAACGGAACATTTTTATGTTTCGAGATGCTCGAAAAATCACGAGTACCTCTGTACTTGGTTATTTTTGCATTTATGTCTATTTCGCATCTTGCGCGTAAATTGTTACAAACGACAAACGTTGCCAAATAATCGTAAGCCATCTCAAAAAAAGGCTCTAAAATAAAGAAGCTCTTCCGTCTTAGTTTACGATTTTTCGCACTTTTCGATTAACAATAAAATTGTTACCACCTCTCTTTTCACATCCTATTTTATTTAGGTCGATAGGACACTGCGTTTTTTTTCAACCAGTGACTACATTAATCATTTTTTTTTAATTTTCTTAAACAATGTAACACATATATATATTTATACTATGTCGTTTATGATGCACTGCAAAGGGAACGTTCCATCCCTTTTAGTAGGAAATACTGTAGACTTTTATCGTATTAGTAATCGATGAATGACTCTTACGTTCATTATCATTGTATGTATAATCCTCAATCTAAAATCGCGTATTTTTCTATTCTATTTTGTTGATTACTTGTTTGTTTGATAACTATTTGCTACAGTTTTTATAAACCCTATACATTCACATCTAGTGTCTTTAGAAAATTTAATGAATACAGGGAGGATGTACACATTATGTGATTGACAGTAACTTTCAGACTTGAAGCGAAAAATATGGGACACACGAATATTATATTGATAAAAGTAATTATCCACTTGCAGTTCACTTTTTTTCAATGAAAAAACAAAAGTTTTACAGGTGATGTAGTATAGTGTACTATAATTATTTTTTGGGATTGTAGACATCCGTTGTAAAACTTTGAAAACGCAAAATTAACTACATTTAATAACAATTACGATTATCATCCTTAAGCATATAAATAACAAATAACATGTAGCTACTTTTTAAAAACTTATATACAACTTATATAAATTCTTAGCAACGCTCAATCTGAACAAATTTGTTCTACATCGAAAATCAACCATGTTCGTCTTTCACATTAAACATATACGTGCGGTCTAGTTAACAACGCATTTTTAAACTGCGTTTAAAATAAACAAGCCATCTTTTCTTAATCTTATTTCTACTTTTCGAGATTTTTTCATTAAGAGATTAACCAATAATATGTGTCTCAACATGTATGCGTACGAGTAATTTCACAAAAAAAAATGTTTGAAACACATTTTTGGGATGATGATTATTATCTTCCGTATACTTTTAGAAATGCCAGAAATATTCTAAATATAAAGTAAAGGACGTTCAACAAACTTAAGTTGAATTTTGCCCTATTACGAAGAGAAATTCAGCATATTTAAAGTTTTTTGGAAAAATTAAAAAATTCTTTAAAATGTTTGTAATTTTTTAAACAAAAAAATTCATTTTGTTCAAAAACTTTCATCAGCGCCAAATTGAAAATGTTTGATGGAATCCACGCGAATAAAAGGCCAAAAAAATGTCACTTTTTGAAAATATTTAGCGCTGGTACATTTTTCCATATTGGATTCGTGTGAAAATCCCTGTTCCCAAGGCGTGCGTAAAAATTTTTGAGTGACTCCCAACAAGAGTTTCTTTAATGAAAGTGCTCTTGTACCCACTTACTATGTACACGATTGTGAAAAACCGAGCTCCACTTACCGAGGGATATATCAACCCTTGTTTTCTACACAAATGTTCGCCAAGCAAACGTTGAAGAAAAAAAAATGTAGGCCGCCCACCGCTTACAATTGACGTGTTGTAAAAATTTTCGAGGGCTATTACTTTTACATAAAAAAATTCCAACAACTTAATTTCTTTCACTACTCTATGAATTGATAACACACGCGTGGAGGAAAAAAAAAATAAAATAAAATTTGGTACTGTTTTTTTTTTTTTTTTCCCCAAACATAAAATAGCTGAGATTTCATTTTTAAAAAGTTCCAAATGACTCTACGAACTAGCTCCCCCAAAATGTGTTATTCAGTTCCCTGGAGTTAAAATTACTTTCAGATTTAAAAAGACCGCGAAGGATGATTTGAAGAAAAATAAGGAAAAAATGAGATAGGACACGCGAGCGTGCCAATGCGGACATATACGCCGCATTCGAATGTCACCGTCGCCGGAGTAAAGAGAATAGAGAAGACTTTCTCCCGAGAAAACACCGCGGCCGTATAATATGTACCGGCTCATTTACATATCTGTATATCCTATACACATACCGTCGAGCTTATAATATATATTATATACTTAGCTCGCGTGCAGCTATACACTTATCCCTATATACGTGTATTATTACAATCAGCCTCTTTTGAAAGACTCGCTTGATTTTATTTTTTGTTTTAACTTTTTAATTTTCACGTTCTTAATCATTTTACGGAAAAAAACATAATTATCGGCCATGTAATGTGTACCCCCTTCGCTTTCACGCATACGCAAGTTTTTTTATTATTTCATGGAAAATGATAATAAAAAAATAAAAAAATAAAAATAAAGAATAATCATCTATGCTGGATGATGATTAATTTTGACGAACAAACATCGGTGCAACGATTCGATTTCTCTCTACACGCGGACACGCCTGTCGGTCAGTTGTACGCGCGTGTGCAGATGATAATTATCTCCAATAGTCCGCGATGAAAAAAAAAAAAAAAGAAAAAAAAAAAGAAAAAAGGGTATCAAACGATCATATAGACAAACGTACAAACTATGGTGAAAACACTTAGACAAGCTCAGTGAAGCCGGAGGACGCCTCGTGCACCAGAGGCTTGCTGTGTGAGTCGAAGTGACGATGATGTCGCAGGCTGGACATGGTCGCCGCGACCGGGGTGCTCGGGGTCTTGGCGAAGAGACGCTCTCAAATGGTTTTTTTCCGCTTCGCCTCCGATGCGACGAACAGGTGCTGCAGCTCAGGCCGACCGCTTAGCGCTGCCAGTACCATTTCTGCGTTTAAGTAATTAAAAAAATGGTCATTTATTGATTTTGAATGAACGGTCGAGACCAAGGTCCAGTTAAACACGCTTACCGTGATCTACGGCGTTGCAATTGTACTCGCGTTGCAGCTGCTGGAAAATCCGGTCCGATTCGTCTTCGCTCAAGCAGAGCGAGAGTCGCAGGGCCTTTCGCAGTTCCAGAGCAGTTAGCGTGTTACTTGCGTTCGAGCTGCAGACCTGATGTAAATAAATAATACATTAGTAATTGTAAAAAAAAAAAAAATCGAATGTGCGGTAAAATTAATGAAATTGTCAATGAGTCAAAGTTACGTAAATGAATGTGTTAAAAAATTAAATAAACATGCATAAGATGAAAATGAATTATTAAAGGGGAAAAAAAAATCACGTGAATAATTAATGAATTTGGTGCTTAGAAAATACTTGAATGTTGATAGTTTCAATTATATCTAAGCGAATATTATAAAATCACCATATTTGAGTTATGAAGTTATAAAATTCAATTTAATCGTATCTTTTAAAAAAACGATGCGAGCCGAGTTCTAAACGATTTAATTAAATCTTAATTAAATTACAGTCCAATAAATACATTTTTCAATTTATTAGTATTTTATTTGACGTTTCAATTAAATTCTTAATTGCAGAAAGTTTCGAGTAACAATCAAAGTTAATTTTTAATTAAAATACGATTCAGTTAAGAATTAAATTTGTATTTCTTATACCACTTTTTATAAAATCTGAATAAATGAAAAAGTTTGTCATATAAGACGTAATTTTTTTAAAACAATTTAATTCTACTGTCCAACAATTGCATTCAACTGTAATTATTTTCTCATTGTGTTTACCGTAAAATAAAAAACAAGGTATTTATCAAAAAATTATTTAAGATGAAGATAAGTTCAATGCGTATAATGCATGTGCTCCTTTTGAAAAAACATTTTTTTTAAATGATCCGTGGTGTGTGTCAGTAACGTCCAGTGCAACAAAAAAAAAAAAAAAAAAAAAAAAAAAAATTTGGTATTTTTTTTTTTTTTTTTTTTCCCCAAACATAAAATAGCTGAGATTTCATTTTTAAAAAGTTCCAAATGACTCTACGAACTAGCTCCCCCAAAATGTGTTATTCAGTTCCCTGGAGTTAAAATTACTTTCAGATTTAAAAAGACCGCGAAAAGTTTTACAGGTGATGTA